GAAATGCATCTGGACAGCAATTCTGTGCTAGCTAGCCTTTGATAAATTGGCAAGATTTGAGAAAGAACACTTTCAGATACTTTAGTTTTCATGGCTTTATGTGCTTTCGGCTGCTCTTCATTTGCTACTGCACGTTGATAAAAACACCATGACAACGTACCGGTAGGACATTTCGAATGTTTTGGTGAGACATCAGTAGATGAACAGTGTAGTAAGCTTGCATAAATTGCAGATTTCATTTTGTCTATATCCGGTATGTTATCTTTTATGGCCTTTATGTAATAGTTTGTTAACTTTAAAATTGTAGTTTCCTTCAGATTACCTTCTTTTCGTCCACCGATACATATACCTCTGGAACGCAGCTCTTTAACTTTATTGCGCAATCCTGCCCCTAAACGTTTTTGCCACATGATTGATACATTCTTCTTTACTAATTTTTACGTCATTACCATAAAGATTCAGAGTTAATAAATGTTGATATGTTTTCGCATCCCCATCAGAAAGTATCCCAACATATCGCATATTACATGTACTGATGGACCGTTTCCATAAAATTTCTGCGGCTTTCATTTCCATAGCATTAGACGAACCAGAAAAATTTTTGGAACACTCTGGTTTGTGGCTTTCAAACCATATATGAAATTCCGCACTGTCAGCACCCATATCTCTTTTCGCGCATACACATTCAGGACAATATTTTGACAGAATTTCATAGTCGATAACTAACCCAGTCAAGACATCTACGACGATACCTATTTCATACAGTGACGTATGCCCACGTTTTTGCCATGTGCCATCATACGACACTGTGATATCTATACACTCATCATTATTTATATTAATTAATTTTTTATGCTTGTTTCGAACAATATTTCGAGAAAACTGAAGGAAATCACCTTTTAGTTTCCCCTTTTCTTCAGACAAACTGTGTAAACATTTAGCAAATGTCTTTTTGTCCATAGCATGAATTCCCATAATCATGGAAAACACTTCTAAGGCGGCGTGGCCTTTGCCTATTTTCAAAAATGCTTCGACAAGTTTCGTATTCACATCAAATGTATTTGACCGTTTTACCCGCTCACTTGAAAATGTTGAACTAAATATTTTATCACAGTTTTTACAAACTAATTCAAGTTTTGTAGAATATCCATATATTCCTTTCGAAACAATATCTAAAGAATTGGTTGAGCACTCGTCACACTTTATATTACATAGCAATGGATTCCACATTTTACGATTTATCAAAATATATGAATCATCATTTCGGTTATCACCACAGTCAGACGTTCGTAATAAACTTTCATTCAGTTTCTTTACACTGGCACTTACTGAAGTACTCGCTTCAACTATAGAACTTTCAGAAAAAAATTGTTTGTTTATTTTTGGAAGAAACTTCTTCACTGTTCAATGTCACGTCATTTTTCCGAATGAGCTGCCCATCGTTTTTCAATTTTGCTGACAGCTGCAAGTTTTTTTCTTCGATGGTCGCCCTTTAGGCTTACGGTAACGACGACTTATGGCATGCATAATGTACTACAATAAATATATATATATATATATATATATATATATATATACTTTTACGCAAGAGGTTATAAATTAATCTGAAGTTCTTCCAGTCCAAGAAACTCAGTTATAAACAGTCCTGCAAAATGTAGTTGTATAAAACACAGCAAAACACTTTTAGCAAAAGAACTAAGGAAAATAGCGAGGAACACTTTTAAACTGTAAACAGTGAAATGGCAGTTACAGTTAAAACGTTATATTGCCAGGTTTATAAAGAATTAAATATGTAAGTATATAAATATCAGCAAATAACTGTTGAAACATATTTGTTTACATTTTCGCCAAAATTTAAAGGGCAAAGTTTATGTTGTTTACACATTTTAAATGCTTGTAACTTCGTTAAAAATTAGAATATTTGAATTCGGTTTTTTACATACGATGCAGTTAAGTATATGTAATACAACGAGAGTAAAAAAAAAATTTCAATATTTTGGTCGATTTTTAGCTTTTTCAAAGTCCACGGTCCCCTTAACAAATTAGCAACTCTTTTGAACAATATCGTTATTACCATTCCCTTTCCAGAGATAGTCATCGGAAATGTGTTCAGGAAAGACATAAATGAAAAATGGCAAAAATAATGGATGATGGAGATAAAGGAAGGAAAGTGTATAACGCATTAATACAAAAAAGATTACTATATTACAAGATCTGCTCTTGTGTAACGTCACTGACTTCTAGTCTACTCAAAGCAACTACTCTCTTTATCTCTTCTTTTTAGCGCTTCTGTAAGTAAGTGATGTCAAAGTTGGAAAGAGTCTAACCAAGGTTAGTAGACAGATAAATTTGTGCTCTTCCTAATGCTTGAATTTAATGGCGTCACTTGGCTTACAGAAGAAACGGTTACAATTAGTTCTCTGAGGGACTAGTTGCTTTGAGGCAGAGTGTGAGTCATTGATGTCACACGCTCAAAGATTTCAAAGATTTCTTGGTCGGGAAGAGCAAACCTTGAGGCTAACCTTGAAACCAGTTTCAGAATCGGTTTTAATCAGACTTTTGTTTTGATCAGGCTATAACAGATCATGGAACATTTCAATAATATGTAAATCGTTTCTTCACGGTGAATGTACAATGCAAATGTCGATAACTAAACGCGGAGGTAATCATTATATTTGGGAATGTCTAATCACATTGGTATTTAGAAGAAAGTTATTCAATAAAATCTCTTCATAGTATTAGTATACATGATAGATTAATGAAGCTGCTTACAAAACTAGATGATATTATAATGCATTTGTAATAATGAAATACTAACTTCTAATGTTATTTTGCTGTAAAATATTTTATAGAATGTGTTTTGCAAAGTTTTGTTTGTTTAGGTGTCGCAGTTGTTTTTATTATATTTTTTTTACAATTTTATTTTCGTCAGTATATGCCGATTCTAAGTGTCATTATTATTATGATGCCTTTCTTAGTGGTAAGATTTATAGTAAATGCTGCTATTTTTATGTTACTAATTTGGCATTTTGGTGATGACATTGCAGTTTTTTCCCTCAATGGACACGTTTTATATTATTTTTTGAGCAAATGACCTTTTTGTTTTGCCTCAATGACTAAGTTCTAGATTTTAGAGGCGAAAGCTTTAATTTTAGCTAATTAGTTAACGTTACTACCCTAAGAGTTACTTTCTAAATGCTGATGAACTATAGCCCTGCCTATAAACAACTTACACAAGTATACAGATTAAAATTGAATACACTTAACTCCACGTATGAGTTACAACTAAAGCCAGCATTCTAAAACAAAAGAGTTAGATTACTTATTGACGATAACTCATAACAACAGGCCACTTTCGTTGAAATATGCAAATATCGAACTCAAATTCTCTAAAGCAAGACACATGATTTTAGCCTTACCTAATCATCATGGGCGGAGGCATATGTCAAGCTTGCCAATGAGATTATATTCAACTTTCAAGCAATGCTTCCAAACAGACTAGCGCTTGCAAATACAGAAGTAAGGCGTCTCATCGAAAACAAAGCATGAGTGGCAGTTAATCTTAGCTAGATTTTAAACTCGCTTACGCATGCCTTAATTTACATTAACTTACTAATTTTTTTACGAATGGCGGGCACTCAGCCGACTTCGGCTTGGCCACCACTAAGTCCAGAAGTATGTGTCACTTTATTATGGAGGCACCTAATAGGACGGCCAACTTTGCCGCCTATGAAGGGACGAACTATGAAGGACGATCAACCATGCCTTCTTCGGGATTTGAACCCGGCCCCTTTGGTATCGCAGTCCGCTCCCCTAACCACTACACCGTCTAGGCAGCAACTTGCTACTATAAAGTGATAATATTTGTATTCTTACCAGAAATTGGAAATGAAGATTCATGAAAAAATGGTTACGATTTCCGAAATATTTTGAAAGAAACTAATAAAAATTACATACTTGGTATTGAAAGCCACCAAAAAGATATGTGGTTAAAACGAACTGCCTAAATCAAGGATATTTAGAAATTAAAAAAACTTGTTAAATTATCTGAAAATTTAATATTTTCTAACTTATCAATTTCGTCCAAAATATCTTGATTTTACCTACTGATGTTTCGGTTCGAAATGGCAAAACATTCTTCAACGCTAACACTACTGCAAATTACTAATATTAGATTATGTTGCTGTTGATGTTTCAAACGGCAGGGTATTTGCAAATTAATACAAGAGACGGGAATGGCGAAAAGTCATAGGCCATTTATCTATCTCATCACCGTGAACGTTACCCACAGCAGACCACCGAATTCACTAGTGAAAACGCCAGATTCTGTTCGCTTTGATAGTAAACATTCTGGGGGATGCATTTAAGGGTCCCTTATTGACAAACCACTCGAGAGGATTTTGAGGTCTCTAGTATTTTAAGTGTCCGATGCCACGCACACATCATGCACGTTCAAACATCCAAGAATTCTAAGGAATTGGATCCTGGGTCTAAAGATACAGAAGCCAGCATTGTTAACCCCTATATCGTTCAGGACACCTACTTATTGTTACAGCTGCTGGATAATGATCATTAAAAAACGCAAAAACAAAAATCGATTTATACATTGGATCGTCAGACAGCAGTCGACAGAAAATTTAACAAGAGGTTTGATTTTCAAATACAGTTTTACTGCTTGTTTTTCTGTGTAAATCTGTCATAATATATAAAGAAAGTGAAACATAAATTTCCGAAAGACGTATTAGCAAGACCGATGAAAAAAAAAACATAATAAAAGTGGTTATAATAATCAGTTCTACAAGAAATGAACTGAAGGAGAAACAAAGAATTAACAGAATAGCAGCCAGGGAAGAGCACTTTTCCAGTCTATAAAATTAAAGATTAATTTCCCGATGGCGCTTCTGACCTTGTTTGCTTCTCCATGATCGCCACGAAGTTTCTTAAAAGTGAACAGAATTTCGTAAATATTTAACAACCGGTTTGGAAGATGCTTCGTCATGATATTGCCCGACGAAGGTTAACGGGAACCCCAGTAACATTACCGTTCGGTGATGTTTAGGAGAATCATATCTGAGAGAGATTTGTAAAGTGTTTAGGTACCTTGCTTGAAGATTTTAAATTGTAGAAAAATCTTGTATCATTACCCTGACTAGCACGTAACCACTGGTAACTAGTAAGTAAGCATGTTTATAATTTATAAGAGACAAACACTGAAGAGTTATCTTTTAACTTAATATTAATATGCTGCTCATCATTATTATCAAAAGTAACATTAAAATTTGCGTAAAATTATATCGGAATTGTTATATCATAAGACGATACATGTAATGCTTAAGATTTCTCGACAGTTTTTATTTCTATAAAAAAAATTTGCATTTATTGGGAAATTTATTTATTATGATTTTATATTTATTTTTTATGTTATGTGTAATTAAGATTAGTCTGATTTTTTGAAAATTGTTACTTTAATAATCAGACGCAAATTTTATAATATTTTTATACTTAAATATTCATCTCATTTATTTAAACAAAACTTATTAGTCTGTACATTTGTTAAGTGGAAGGCTTAAGAAGTAAGTAGATGCTGCTATTTTTAAGAAGAAGGAGTAAGTAAAAGGATAATAAAGAAGCAGTTAATTAAAGAACTTTTAACTGATTATTTTAATATTACAGTGATCTCCGACACAAATTGCATCCGGGCTAAAGGCACGATCTGAAAGCAGTCTGATGGACTAGAACACATTTTAACGAAATTAAAAAACATTCTTAATAAACAAAATTATGCAATAAAAGGAATTTGCGAATAATAGAAAATTATGCTATCCGTCGACTTTCTGTGAAGAAAGTTGATATTGATACATTTATGAAATCATATTTTTATGCTGAGAAAAAAATGACTGAAAATTATTATGAACTGCCAGCTTTTGCAGATGGAGGTAACCTTAAATGTGTTACTAGATTTAAAAAAATTACTAATTTTATACAACTGTCAGGTAGCTGGGGAGCGAGAAACGTGAGAAAATTAGCTACATCCTCACTGAGATTCGAACTCAAGATCTTTCGATTGGTAGCCGAAATGCTGCCGGTTATACCCGATTGCACGCAGTGGAGAAGACAAAATTTCCTTACATTCTTCCCTACTTAAAGAGCGACTAAGAAGATAGAAATAAAACCCAAAATCCAGGTGGTGAAATGATCGTCCACATCTTAGTCACTTGTAGAATCTATTAGGCCTTTCGAAATAATAAATGCTAAATATCAGTTGTAACCTTGCTTAGCTTCAAACACCAAATCTTTCAACTACAACTTAAACACGCTACCAATTATAGCATGAGAGCACACACTTGGGAAGACGAAAATTGCTTACAACTTCCTGTGAAGCAGCGATGGATTTTAAAGCGGTGGGGGACAGCAAGAACGAGACACCATAATTAAATAAAACTATTACATTTTTATCGCATAAATATGCTACATATTGTAATGTTTTCGTTTACATGGCTTTTTAGATTGTTTTTTAAATTCTTAGTACTATGCTGAAACAGGTTGTAGAAAATATATACTCAAGAACTATGAACTCAGAACTCGTTTCAAGCACAAGAGAATGCCAAACTTTCAAATATTTTCCCAAACAAAGACTTTTGCAAATTTCTGTCTTCTTTGTTTGGCACAAACCATCAGCATTTCAGTGAATCAATCGAATTTCAGAAGACTCTGTGTTCCGTCGTTGTGACGAATTTTCGTTACCCAAAATGCGCCAAGAGAACTAACACTTTGCATCGCGAACTGAACACGTAATACTTAAAACCAGACCCAAAATCATTATTCTTTAAAGAGTGCTTTCATACTGTAGTCTCTTTCCTAAACAGCTGATCACATTTCATCAAAGAGATAGATGGAAATTGTACAATATCACCTTCATGTGCAACACCATTTTCAACTGTAGTGAAACATGTCAAAAATATGATGAATAAAAATGATAAAGTTAAACAATTGAAAAAAATCAAAGAAAAGTATCATGGACACTCGTTCGATAGAATTTTTGATTCTACTAGAGGACATGCTGTTGCAGCTTTACATTTAAATAAAATGGGAACGCTATACACGAAATCCAAACTTTGCTTAATTAAAAGGCTGATAACCTTAGTGATTATTTAAGCAATTTTATTAGAAATAAGAATCAACATTAAGTTAAACTATTAACAATGACTAGTGCGTCTCCAACGATTCCGAGTGATCAAAAGCTGCAATAACTATGTGATATTTTGAGCAAGATTTCAGTTCCTCAACTGATGCTTTCCTGATGGCGCATGCAGTGTGCATTTAATCATGTCAAATTTGGCACCTAATGCCAGTTGTCCTATATGTCAAAACGAAGCTTTAAATAGGCGGGTCAGGATTGTTTAGCGAGGTACTTATGCAGATTTGGATCCCTTCACTAGCCATACTTTCACTAGTCAAGCTTGACTTTTGTTTTCAGTGTTGACTTCGGGTTGAAGAAATGTTCGATGTTCTTGATTATGTATGATGTTGCTAGTTTCTAAACATTTTTCTTCCTCCCAAGACCTAATATCAAAAATTTAATAGGAGATAATACTTTATACGCCCTAGTGAATATTCTTCTATTAAAATTTGCTACTAGGCATGGGAAAAGGGAAAGAGTTTGTAAATTCATGGTTTCGGCGTGGTGCCGAGGATATTCCTTATTTATTGTTCAATCGTAAACCTTCAGTGTACTATCTTTGGTCTTTCCTATCCAACCTTTCCGGCACAACTCATCACGGAAGTATGTTAATTTATCTAAAATAAAAAAAAGTGCAGCCCGCTTACGGATATAATACATTACTAAAATCAGAGTGAGCTAACTGTACTCGTTGCGACTGCTTCAGGTAACACGCTATTTGTCGCCGATGACTGAAGTTATCGGCACTGATGATAGGAGGTATTATCGAATTTTGTCTTGGTACGTAATATTTAAATTAGCTTTTTTAATCAAAATAACACCGTATATATATATATCTCCAGACTAGGATTTTCAACTCACTTTAATGCTTTTGGCTTACTTTGATTTTACCTCAGTTTCTGCAACCTTAAAAAAACTAAAGAATTACAAATTTTTATTCCTGCCTAAGATACTGTTATTACAACTAAGTTAAGAATAATGAAAACACAGTTTTTTAAATTCTTATTAAGAGGAGAAGTCTCAAATAACTATACTGCTAAATTATTACATTGCATCTTTAAATTTTAATTACTATTAATTCTGAAGCTATATATGTCGTAATCACCAATATTAGGGTTAATAAGCATTTATGTTGTTAGTTGTTTGTTCGTTAATTCCACTATGTGGCTTTAAAACCTTTTGCAGTGAGAATTTTACCTGTACATTTTTGTTCATTCTGACTGGTCAGAAAGATTCCGTATTTAAGCTAAATTTGACAAATAAATTCAGCAATTACTAATCAATAAGTTCCGTTTTTTCATGATATGTCACCGTGCTATTTTTTTCTTATTTCCTTGGTTAAAACTGTTGTTTCATGATCACTATTTTGCATTCATTGACTTATGCAGTAAATGAAAACGGGAACGGATCTGATGGTCTCCTATATCTCTTCCACTACCACCAAACTTTTTGACAGGATTTTCAGGTCTCCATCATTTTAAATGCCCGCATACTACATAGATTCTGTATACTTACAAAGATCCAAGCCTTTGAAGGAGAACCCAGTGATACGGTATCCAATAACGCTAACCATTATACGAAATGGCGTAGCTATATTAAATCATAATCCTTCTATTAAAACGTCTTAAATAATATATGTTAATTACATCATCATTTTACATTTTCATTTCAACAATCATTTTAAATTTTTTCTCTTTAGTGTACATTCTTCTGCGAGATTCAAGAAATTCAAAACATCAACCACACTTTCATTTGGATTTGAGACTGTTAAGTAAGTTAGATTATGCTAATCACTTAACATTATGCAAGGCGGGAATGAGAAATTTTCTTACAAGGTCATAATTGTTATCCTTTCCTCATAAATTTTACTAACTTTATGTGAAAGTACTTAATTTAAGAGGTAATTCCTGTCACTAATAGTGTATTTCTTTACTTATAAGGTTAAAGCCCTTAAACGTAATTGTTACTATTAACTTTTTTTCACAGGAAACATGTTAGACTAAATATCTGCTCAGTATTCCTTCATATATAATTAGTTCTTAGTTTTATGTTATAAGGTATTTCTCTCGATTTCCTAGCGTGCCTTCGTGGTGTAGTGGTTCTGCACGCTGAGCCGGTACTCTAGAGGTCCGTGGTTCGATTCCCGGCGAAGGCGTTGCTAATTTTTCATGTTGCCTGCTTCCAAAAAATATCTAATGTCTCTACAATGTTATGAAGTATTCTGGCTTAATCTGCATAAGCGATTCATGTAAATAAACTGCAGTTTACAAGAAAAGGATACTTATTGATACTATTTGTATTTAAAGATATTGGTTAATAATGTATATGATAAAGGATATTGGTTCACAATTTGCATAAATAAACAGCAATTCACGTAAAAGAGATATTAGTTAATAACATATGTAATGAAGGCTATTGGTTAACAATTTAATTGAATAAATAGCAATTGTAATTGCTATTGTTGTAATTAAGAATACTTGTTAACATTTTAAGTGAATAAACAGTAACTTATGTAAAAAGGCTAATTGTTAATAATATATGTAATTAAGGTTATTGGTTGACAATTTACATGAATTAACAGCAATTTACGTGAAACGATATTGGTTAATAACATACCTAATGAAGAGTATTGGTTAACAATTTAGTTGAATGAATAGCAATTTACATAAAAAAGATATCGGTTAATTATATGTATGATTAAAGTGTTGGTTAACAATTTGTTTGAAAAAACAGCAATTTACACAAAAAAGGTTTTGGTTAAAACATCATTTAAAGTATTTCGATTGTTTGAATGTGCATTCTAATAGAAAACTTGTGATTTATATGATCTTTATTTGTCTCATAATTAATTATGTATTGTGTAAATTTAATACAAATGCAAATAATCTGTTAGCTGAATATGTAAATACAATGACAAGCAAAAGTTTAATTACGGTTATAAAAATATATTTACAAGTGATTTCCTTTGATTTTTTTATGCTTGAAACAGCTTAGTTTTTCTTACATATAAAAGCTCTGATTCTTATTTGCAGGTTTAGGTTCTGATTTGAAAGATTTCTGAATTTTACTTATTTATTTAGTTATTTTTAATTGTTTAATCAATGTCCTCAAATTAGGTCTGTTATTGAAATATAAATACGTCTACTTACAACTTCAAACGAAATGCAAAATGTTTTTGATCTGTATAATTCGTATCATTAACTCTCTCCAACTAGCTGTATAAATTTCCAGACATGTGAAAATGTTAACTTTAGTCAATTACTTATTAGCCCAAAGGGGAAATTTGCACAGATGGGCTATTAATTTCGTTTCGGAATTTTGCATTGTCCACCATAAAACGGCGTTTCACTTTTTAAATTGTTGCCACCAAATATTAGAGCCCTGCACTATATTTGAAGAAATTAAATAATGAAGAATCTGCATGAACGTATTTATGTTCCTCGCATTGTGAAAAAACAACCTAGAGACAGCAAATTTTGAGAAAAAGTTGTCGCCCACTCTAATATGCGCATCTCGAAGCCCAAATTTGGAATTTATTTTGTTATCTATTTCAGATTTTGTAAACTGTAACGAATTTTTGATCGACAAACTCAGCGATTTTAAATTGAGCATTGAAAACACAATACGGGGGAAAAATTATCTCCAGCGCGCGAGACTGTGTATCGGAAATTCTAAAAATATACTTTTTTAAATATTTGGTTATATTGCTGTTGAATTGAATTTTATGGTTTAAGCGCTAAGAACATGATATGTAATAATTAAAGATAACACACAAAACGTTAAAAAAAGTCCCTTTGGGTGTAATATAAAATGCGAAAGATTTCAGATTTTTTAAAATTTTTAATTTTTTGAACTTTGCATTTATTTCTGTTTCTGTCTGTTTTTCTGTCTATCTATGAAATATTAGACGGTACATGTTTTCATTAGAGTAACAAAATGTATTTTAAAATATAAATTTTCAGACAGAAAGAAAGGAATTTTATAACAAAAAAAAAAAAAAAACACATTTGGTGGAAGTAATCATCCGATAATACAAATGCATGTGAAAAATTCATCTTAATAAAGCAATATATTTTGATTGAGTTTTTATAATAGAAATTGATAACAATATATTTTACTGTAAGAAACAAGATTTCAAGGAGGAATAAAACTACTTATGAGCGCTTAGTAAATTTAAGCATATATGCATCATTAGTAAAATCTGGTAAACAAACCCAGTTGTTTATTCCATGCTTAGCAATGTTTGTAATACTACATACTAGATAATGATATTGAAATATAATTTATGCAAAAATAAGTCACTGTGTGTGTAATTGCATAAAACAGTGAACTATCCAACCAGTTCTTTTAGTAATACTTCCAAGCGAAAATAATAATTTTTATTCAAGAATTTTCATATTAAAATTAATTAATGCTTAAATTAACAAGTAGGCATTTAATTTTGAATCATTATTTGTGATCAATAAACACAGCAATTTAAAATGTATTTGTGCTGCTGGTAAACCTATAAAAAGTGATATATGGCTTTTTGTAAGAAAGATACTGCTAATATTTTCGTTTATCACATTTTTAATTCCAATAAAAATATCTTATACGTTCCTGTATCTTGTAAGGTCAATTCAGAAGTGCAAGTGAATAGTCAAAGATAAAACGAATGAAGCTACCACTATAAAAGAAATTTTTATGATTTGATACGCAAATAATAATAACATTAATTTCCATACCCCCACTTAGAATTGTTGAAAATACCTGCACTCTCTTAAACTCGCTTTGACAGTTCAAAACAAGTATATGTGTAACTAACCGAATTTTGTCTTTCAAAGAAAGAGAGAAAAAAAAAGAAATGATTACTATGTACGAAACAAATACGGTGAAAAATAAATTCTAAAGAAACTAATAGTAACATGAACTGCCATTAGTAAATTTGTAGGGCTGTAGTTTTGAAGGCTAAATACTGCATTGTCCACCGTATTTTTCTCTCCCTCTACTCTTAATACTAAATTCTGAAATATTTAAAAACATTAGTCTAACTTTCCCCTTTCTTCAGAAGCTTTCAGAAAATCATCCCTTATAACTGTTGACACTTTATCCCAACCTAATACAAGAGCTGACCAAACATAGCGAAGCAAATACGAATTGACATCCATTATAGTATTTCGCTGAGTCAGCTGCACATTCAACTTATGGATGATATGAAGTCTTTATAAAAAGTGGCTGAGAAAACAATAAGAAGAGATGAGATTAGAAATACAGGAAAATAGAAATGAAAATATCAATTTGGATATTGTAATGTTAATATTATTATGCATTCTCATTAGAATGTAGGTTTCTTTAAGAGAAAATGTTTTGTAATAGTTACCTGTAATTTACTCATGCCTTATTTTCATTTGTTTCATGTTCTTATTGTGACCGCATTTTTCGGAAATTATTCCCATAATTTTCTTTTATCGGTTTTCGGACGATAAAATTAGTAAAAGAAGGGGCTAGAGAGTAGAAATACAGTAGAGCTTTCTCAGCTATAGCAGTGAAAATGGCGAAAAAGAAACATGCGCCTACGGAAAAACAACCGAAAAAAAATTGTGAATGCTCTGGCTAAACGGTAGAAAACTCAGGCTTTCCCTCCTTTAGTGACCGAAAAAGGAATACAAAGCAACTAAAATTCACTTAAAAGGCTGACTGCAAAGAGCTGTAGAAAGAGGCTGATTAATGATCCCAATTCTTCTTTTTGGTTAACAATAATATTCCGATAATGCCACTAGCTTTTCAAGAATTTGTTTCTCAGTGGCATTTCTTTCATTTTCTGTAAATCGATTAAACTGAAAGATTTCATTTTCTATCATATAGTTGGAATATTTTCCTTTCTTGCTCTACTTAGGTATATCTTGTTTTTTCACATTTTTACTCCAGCAAGCGAGAAAGTATAGTCTTTGGAAAGACAGTTTCAATTAAGGAAAGGGTACGGTTTTGAAATACGCGATAGCTGATATGCGTGTGATTCCACTTTGCATTGCTTGATTAGTCTGAATATATCAAGGGTAAAAAGACTGATTTTTATTCTATAGTAGATAAGTTCATTTTTTATTTTTTAGCTTAATGTTCGGTTGAATTCCTCAGAAAATCATTTGGACTATTTTTACAAAAAGATTCAAATGAGACTTACTATTACTCATGCATAGTGCTATTACTGTTATGCATAGCGATATTACTATTACTCATGCATAGTGCTATTACTGTTTTACTGTTACTCATGCATAGTGCTGTCTGTCTTCAGGTGAGTATAGTTACTAACCACAAATTATCTCCTCTGCAGGTAAGACATTGCTCTGTGCTGCCTGGGAGTCTCGAGAGTGATAAGAGAAGAGTAGCTGCCTCGGAGAACGGAACAATGGATTGTGACCAAATTTCTTCTCAAAGAAAACGTTTAGTCATCTTATTTGCTAGAGACCCAAGCACAGTATGGATAATAGTGTCTCTTACGTAACCCATGCCTCTGAGTGGTTAAGTGTTTGACGGACAAGAGAGCTTAGAGAACATCCCTCAACCCGACAAATACTGATCGTATAAACGTGGCTATTCCTGGGAATAAACGCGTCACAGAGAGCTTGCGTTGATATTTTCAATTAATGTTGGTAGTGTAGAAAGACATTTGCAATGTGACAAGGTGTATGCCCGTGAATTCCATGCATGATGACAGATGATAACAAGGTGACGCGCATGCAAATCAATAATTCTCTTTTACGGTGTTTTGAAGATGATAGAATGCCTTTTTGAAATCCATAGTAACCGCGAAGGAAACTAGTGTCACTAGTTCAATCTCGAGTCTCAGTCTTAAATCCAAGTCTCAGGCTTTGAAGGCATTCGGCTTGTAGATAACGAAGCCTTCTTCAGTGTTCAGGCGTGGATTCACAGCCAACTGGAAACCTTTTTTGGAAATGTCATGAAAATGCTTTCAGAATGCTGGAAAAAAACGTATCAATTCTGGAGGTGAGTACGCTGAGGGTGACATGCTCAGCTCTTTTATTCCCATTAAAGGTTTTGGCAAAATAAAAATCAATCCTAGTTATACTTAAACCATCTTGTACTTGTCGTTACTATAAGTTAGAATAGCGCAGCAAGAGAATACACAAAATATGCAACGAACAGAAAGTCCTCTCATTGGGTTGGTGGTGGTAGTGGTAACCCTCGTACCGACATGTGGGATGTTCTGCCTCAAAACGGGGAAACAGTTAGCGTGGCGGGACTATACCTGTAAGACCAATGAAGAATACAGGTAGACTTAGACAAGAAGTACAGGTAGAAATGGGCTCTCCGTCGCCCATTTCTACCTGTACCTATCTAGAGATAGTTTGCTGGTTTATATCAGAATGGATAGGATGTTTATTCCACTTTGTACATTAACGAAGCGAATAAGGCAGAAACTTTGCTCTCTTGGTCTGCGTTATCGATGTCAATTATTAAACTCTTAACTTGTTGATATAATACAGTATATCTACTGGAAGTAATTACAGGAAAATCAATACTTATCACTTTGAGTCTTTCTGGTGAATGCAACTGACTTACAGTATGTATTGTAAATCAGTTGTTAAGCATTCCCTGTTGCATAATAGCAACATCGACATCAGACTACATTATTGACACAATTTAAGAATATGACTATGAATTTGGAGTCTCATATTATGCTATTTCCGTTGCTCGAGTTTAGATTTAACGGTGTTCCTTTGACAAAAAGAATTCGAGTGATATTTCGAAGTCATGTTTTACACGAATCAATGACTGGAAACAGGTGAAGCATAAAGGTAAAAAGGAAATATCTTTGGCTTCACCCAAAGTATAACTAAATTTGGAGCCGTATCCAAGTTATTGGGATTACTCGTTGAAGGTTATGTAAATGTTGCCCTCATGAAATATCTTTGGCTTCACTCAAAGTATAACTGAATTTGGAACCGAATCCAAGCTATTGGAATTGCTCGTTGAAGGTTAGGTGAATGCTCCTGATGCATTGAAAATATGAGATAAGATAATTGGATTTTTAAACTTGCCGTATGGTAGAGCCATTCACGATACGCTTTAACTCAATATCAGAGCTCATCTTATAGAAGACTGGTGTTCGAATGGAATCACTCCACTCACCTTTCACCGTGACTTAAGGAATGCTGTTATAAGTTCTATTTGATGTCGATAATTTTGTATTTTAGCTGCGTGTAATAATAACGAATGAATGTATGTATATTTATTATGTAAGTTTTCATTTCGTTACATTGTATTTCTTTTTAAGATGTGTCACTCTACTACTTCATTTTTAAGAGTTATTGAGGATGAATCTTCATAGTTTTCAGTTTTTCTGCGCTAATCATTATTGCGAGAAGTGTTAAATTATTTGAGCAGGAAATCACGCGTTTGGAATGGATGGCATACTCACCTGACCTAAATGCAATAAAGCATGGGTGGAAAGCTCGAGACTACTATGCCGCTGTTTGGCAAATACCACCTCCGACACTTCGAGAGATTTATCAAGGAATGGGAACTTGCTGTATCAAAATCTAAATTCTATGTAACACTGATTTTTAGCCTTTGAACGTGAAGTCCACATGTCCTATTAAGCGTGAAGTCCACATGTCCTATTAAGATTAAATCCTCTGAAAAGCAATTTGTTTAAACGCTTTTTACTTCTAAAGGCTGAAATATTTCAAAATTCTGTAAATGCTTGGGACAATATTTTCTCTTAAATTGAAAAAATGTTGTAGTCCAAATTTTCTAGTGACATTCATATGTAGGGCCACATAGATATAATCTGTAGAGTTTCCCTTAGTTTGCATAACACATTATTTTAAGTTTGGTACTTTTCCTGAACTTCTCATTTTCCCCTCGCATTTCCTCGCCAGGATGCAGATTAAAAGTTAAGTGAATAGAGTATGAGAACAGGCGAATCCAGAAGTGTATTCAGAGCGGGATTTCGCTAGTCAACGCACTTAGCTATTTTGTTTTTGCTGTTGTTATACACCTTTTTGGCCATTTAATAAGTATATCCCCAGGTAGGTTGTTGAGTTAGCCAAGTTAGCCTTAAACTAAATTGTTAGTCCAGCCCTACTATTTATCTTTGAATTTATTGTTGAATTATTCTTAAATTATAGAGTATTCGTGTATTTCTTGGAAGTATACACTCTTAAACCCTATGTCGAAGACTATAGCGAATACTCGCTATGTCTTTAAGAATAAATACTGCGGATGAAAGGTTTACATAACCTTTTTTTTATTTAAATCTAAATTAAAACAGATGCACATACTTCGTGCTCACAAATCACCACAACATGTAGCTACGTAAGAAAAAAGAAGAATGTAACAATTCAATAGTTAATTAAGATAATCTAATGACTGGCTCCTTAGCTTAACTCTAACCTAGATTTTCCAGATTCCAAATTTTAAGTATCAAAAGTGACTTTTTTTATTCCTCAGAGAACTTTTATTTCTTTCCTTCCACAAAATATACATCTGGTTATTACGAATATTATTTCTTTCCTGATATGGTTTTAGTTCTGAAACCTTCACTCTCAAAAATTACTTCTTCAAATAAAATCGAGTTTAATCCTATTTCTGCATCTAATGCAATTCAGTTCAAAGTGAAAACAAAATAGTACTAGGCGATGAGCACTTGCAATGTTAAGTTTTGTGTATTTAACCGACCTGCACAAAACTGTATAACTAGGTCGGAGATAATATTGACCACACTGCTAGCACTCGTGCTTAAACAAGACTAGCTTTGCCATTCCCCGTTGTTCTCCATGCTTATCAAATTAGTTTCCACTCGCTATGCCTAATAACATGCCAAAACTGATGGGAGGAAAGGAATGTTTTAATAACATGAATATCAAAGAAGAAAAATTAGTGCTAGCTGCTGAATATGCAGTAAACAGCAACAGAGACATAAAAATTCTTCTGATATCTTTGAAGCATCTTATTAATCAGATTTTACATGTTAGAGAAGCACAAATTTGCGAACATGGATTTATCCTTTCATATGTTTAGCAATGTATATAAAAAACAGTGTTTACTACTAAGTGTCTAGTCATTAATTGTTATGAAATGTAATTTCAGCCTGTTTATAACACAAAAAGGAGTAAAGCAACATTACAAACCAGTACGAAAAAGAGAATAACAATTTAATGTTCACCAAAAATACAATCAATACTCTCTTTTCGCAGAAAAATTGCAACATATTAGCAAAGGACAAGAAATGCGTGACTAAAAGAATTCAAATGATGATGTTAATGAAAACTTCCAAGAATCGGAGAGGATCTATGATCAGCATCTCTTTTTATTCTTTCTTTCTCATTAACTTTAATCTAGTTATTTTCATTACTTCTGTGTCCAAAAATGCTATCTTCATATCATTGTAAGATAATATTCATTCTTTGCACTCCAATTTTAAGAAATAAGCAAAATCTACAGTACACCATCAAGATGACATCCATCCTAGATCGAACCATGCGGAGTTGAATGTCATGCCAATGGAAAATTTTATTTAAAAAAAAAGAGAGATACAGCATTAGAAGAAAAATAATTAAAAAAAAGTACAAAGCACCAAAGGGCCCAGGATTTGAATCCCAAAGAAGGTATGGATGCAAATTGTCTCTCTCATCATAGGAAGTCACGGGGGCTCCCTGTTAGGTCAAGCGATAGCCTAAAAATAGCTAGTGCCCACAGTAAGGAAAAACTCATACCATTAAACATACTTTTAAGTATAAAATTACTGTTTGCTATTGATATTTACTTAGCATCAATATATGTGCAAAAGCATTAGAAACTGACATGAAAGAGTACTTAACAAATCTGGATGTGCATAGGAAATACTATGATACAATTCATGTGAAATAAAGGTAAAAATTTATAAAATCCATAATAATAAACATACAAAATAAAGTGCATAATAAATACAAAAACCTAAAGTGCATACATAATAACTTAAAATATACAAATTACATTAAGTATAATATATTATATAATAAAACAAAATATTTAAAGATTTACATGAAAGTGTAAAAACTAATAAGTATCTATTTTTTCTTTTTTTTAGGGAGCATGATGAATTGCAAGAATAGGCATTCAGACTTGTAAAAATTGTAACCTTTTTTTGTCTAGGCATCAAGATCTAACGCATAGGTAAGATGAATGAGATTTTCTTCTTGACGTTTCACATTATATTTCTTGCATCACTGTCTCAAGCTGTAAACGAAACCGTAAAAGAAGATGGTGAATTGTTTCAAGGTAAACACCCCTCTCTGTATAACTGTCCGGTATTCGACTTGAATCCAAAATTCTATACCATTTTTCCCAACGGAACACTTTACATAGAATCTATTAACACAACTTACAATGAATCCTTATACATTTTACAGGACAACGTCGTATACATTTCCAGTGGTTGTGAAAATGAAACAGTAAATGTAACAGAAAATGAAGGAATAAAAGAAGAAGAATTTGAAGGCCCTTTGAAATACTTATCCCAAATCGGATTGGGTATATCCGTAGTGTGCTTGTTACTACATTTACTAGTCTTCGCCCTTGTACCTCTTTTACGGAATTTACCTGGATATAATTTGGCATCCCTTTGTTTGTCTCTTTTCATAGGTTATTTGTTCACAATGATCACCGACGACGAAAATTTGAACAAAAACAATCGGAATTTATGTATAGCATCCGCAGTTTTGATCCAATACTTTTTTATAGCTTCCTTCCTGTGGATGTCAGGGATAGCTTTTAATATCTACAGAAGTCTTCTACAAGCAACCGGAAGTTTACGAATCTGCCACATAGAATTCACATTAAAGAAATATGGATTCTACTGCGTGTTTTCATGGGGAATTTCAATGGTGTTTGCTGCTGCTGCTTTAATAGCTGACAACGTAAGTGATTTTCCTGAACTTTACCAGCCACGGTTTGAAAGGACCTGCTGGTTCTTTCATAAAGAATCTAACTTAGTATTTTTCGTTGGCCCAATTTTTAGTTTGATTATATTTAATCTTATAATTTTTGTTATCAGTGCATACATCATATTCTCAAACAGAATGAAATATGTCGACAGCAACAATAAAATGCTTTTGAAAAAGCATGCTTTGATATATTTCAGACTGTTCGTTATCATGGGCGTCACCTGGATTGTGAAACTTTTGGCTGCTGTGATGAACGCTCTTTGGCTGTGGTACATTTCTACTGTACTGAACACCTTCCAAGGTTTATTTATATTCCTGGCATTCACCTGCAGAAGAAAAGTGAAAAATCATTTAGTAACACGTGTCTTTGGAAGCTGGAAAAAATCACAGCCTGCCTTAAAACCAACTTTCCAATCTTATTGCTTTTATGAGAACTCAATCAAAATGGATCTACATAAGACTGCAGATATTGGCAAAGAAAATATTTCTATGGATACTGTAGTAATGCACATTTGAATAAGAACAAATGCCTGATAATGGAAAAAAATAAAAATCTGGTAATGCCTCTGCTCCCGAAAATATTTCACGATCTCAAATTAAGCCATAGTTTATGCACTATTGTTTCATTCAAATGGTTCATAACTGTATTTACTTTTGAATGTGATTATGTAACCTTATTAATTGTCATTTCATAATGCGCTTCAGTTTCATTAAGTAATTATATGCCTTTACTTTGTCTTTTTTACTAATTTGTTTACAACCTATAAATATACTAGGAGGCGAATTAAAATTTGAATTCTGTAAATATGTTGCTTGTAACTTGTCTAATAAAGATATTTTTCAGTTAAATTGTGAAGTTGTTAGATATAATTATTAAGTCGTATTCAATAGTTACTTTGGTTTTCCATAAACTGTACAAGTTTATGGAAAACCAAAGTAACTATTCCCATAAACTGTGCCGTACAGGTTTTCACCACTACAGAACTTAAAAGTAGTGCAGAAAGGACACAGAGTTAAATAATAATAGACAAATTTACTTGTGAGTATGATTTGTAATTACAAAACAGAGAATAATAACAGTGCTGGGCCCAGAGCAGCAATACAGTTGAAGTACAGTTGACACCATAAGCAGATGCGTCTGAAAAGTAGAATATTTTGTGCATTAGATATATTACAATTTTAACTTTCTAAATAGAACTAATACCCAAGAAACTCAAATTTAACTACTAGACTAGGGTAGGCAAAAAATTTTAACAATTAGCGAAAAGGTCTCTTTTAATGCGTGATGCAGACAAAGCCGTCACAAGGTCTTTTGGTGTTGGTGTGACGATCTTTTGCTGGGTCCCTATTATTTCCCAGGACACGATGAGGACAGGAGAGGAACATACCTTCCCGGCAGAATAATTTAAAAAAAAACATTAATTCAAAATAGCATTTATGTACTTTATTTCATATTTGTTTGCTTTAAATAAGCCCCAGATATTAAAACGGGGCCACAATTACTCTGCACTCGAGTCAACAGTAAAATATAAAATGCACTTTTAAATTTCAAGAAAATGAAACAAAGAAAAGGCCATCGATGGCTAATTAAAAATTTTTATAAATTTATAGCTTTTCATACATATTTATTTTTATCCTAAATACTGTGTTGTAAAAACAATATACCTAACATTATTTAATTATTATATACCTAATATGAGACGGGAAATCTCCCTAAATGTTCATTTGCGATTATTTCATCCAATTTAGGCTCCAATCTACTTGTAGCAGTCTTTAGTACCTAATGTAAATTTTCATCAGTAATTTGTGATCCATATGTATTTTTCCTGTGTATCATTAAGGAAAAAGTTCTTTCACATAAATATGTCGATCCAAACAAAATTAAATACTTGTAGAAAATGTTTGAATTTATTTGCATCCATAGAACATTAAAAAACTGTTTATTCGCTTGAATGAAACTTTTATTTAACAAATGATCGACAGCGAATGAATCAGTTCTAATAGAGATGGAGTATCCTGTACAATAAAATTAGACGGCCTACTTATCAAGGAAAAAAATCCTTCAATCCTTTTTCAGTTTCAGAAAAAGGATGAAAATTTTGTTGCATAGGATTTCATAACGGGTTAGGTTAAGTGATGAATCGGGCCACATTCGGCTTGCGGACTAGCTTCTGTCCTCCCTGATTTATAACTTTGCGTCAATTATTTTAATTAAATCTTTCTTTCATATGTGTTCCTGGCGTTTAAATAATTTCTTAATTCACAAATTATAAGTTATCTTATTCCTCTAGCAAAAAATTATCAATTTTAATACAAACTTAAACATAGAATGAATCAGAACGATAACAATCTAATAGTAAAAAATAAAGTAGATTATAGGTGATAGGCAAGAGCAAACGTGGAAATCACAAGAACATAAGTGTTAAGAGAATGAGATCCATCGCCTATAACTTTAAATAACAACTTCTATAACTCGTCGCCTTGGATTGAAAATGCGCTGCTATATTTTAAAGGGTACCATAACTGAATGATTACATTAAGAAGGTCTCTAACGCAGTGATCTCTAACTAGGGATCCGAGGACCGTATGCTGCCCTCGAAAAAATTTTGTGAGTCAAGTGAACAGATTTTTCACAAATTAATTAATATAATTATGACTTTAATTATTACGGCAATACTATGAAAAACGGTTTAATATTTCAATGATTCTGAGACCAATTTTGAATAATTCTTATGATCATTGAAAAAGGAACTTTACTGAAATTATGGCTGAAAAAAATTTTGATTTACGAGAGTGGGAGTACACTAACCCATCTGAATGTATAATAAGTCGATCAAACGTTCCATGTGATGTGGGACAGACATTGTGATACTTTTCTTGTAAACATACCTGATGTGAAAGAACTAACGAACGTATAAATTACCAAAAGAAATATTTTAGTTCTTTCGCACAATGTTTTTGATTCTTTTGGTATAATTGGTTTTGTCCAAAACTCTGGCTAAAATATTTATGAGAATTGAACATTAGTTGGGATGAAAACGTTGATATAAAAACACTTCAAGATTTCTTGAAATAGTTAAGTATTTGCAACATGTTAAAGTGTCAAGATGGTTCCTCTGTGATGAAGAATTTCATTAAATGTTTTCAGTGATGCGAGAAAACTTGCTTATTCGACTGTAATATTTCTGAGAGTTGGTAGGAGAAGCACTGCTCATGTACAACTGGTACAGAGTAAAATTATAATTGCTTCTTGTAGTAAAAAAAGAAAGAACAAAGGTTGGAACTTCTTGATGCTACTATTTCTGCAATTGCGAGATATCTATTTATTAAATGTTAAATGCCCGTACTCCTGTATTTTTACTTTTTCGGCGTAGCTTTCTCTTAAAACTCGCCACGCACTGCAGTGCACGGAGAAATAAAACAATTTTAATAATAATTCTACTAAAAATAGCAAATTGAATACAAAATCTGTAACAATATCATACCTATAAGTGTAGTTTACATATAAGCATCTAAAGATTGCCTGCTTGCTTGCATGAAATGAAGATGTACATTAAATTCATATAAGGTATATGCAAAATTTAATTAATTTCCGATTTACTTACGTGGCGGCCATAGAACCGGATCCCCACATCCGATCCAACGGCCGGGGTATTCCATATCCAGCCAACCACGTACAGGAGCACAGAAATGCGCCGGAGCCCCATTATGCTGGAACCAATCTACTAAGTCCCTGTATTGCCGCTAATGGTATGTCATCGAGGAACTCGGTTAAGACTTCATTGAGAAACACCAAGTACGACTGCCCGAGAGCCGTTCAGGCAACAGATATGGTCCAAGCAGGAGATCCCCGAGTATGCCGGCCCACACGTTAAGAGACCAACTTTCCTGATGTCTCTGCGGCTGGAGTTGTATGCGGATTGACCTGGGACAACATATGGCTGTTGTGATGGTTGAATACCCCACCACGAGAGAAACATGATTCATCGGTTCACAGGATATGTGCAATGAAACCATTATCTGTGTTCTGTTGCTGCAACAGTCATTCACAGAAGGCCACGCTTTTCTGAAAGTGATCTGATTTCAGACCTTGCACGGTTGTGTACCGAAATGGGTGTAGCCTGTCAGACCGTACAAGGCTGTGCACAGTACTTTTACTCCAAGTCATCTCAGGCCTAATGCGCGTGTGCTTACCTCGGGCTCCTCTTCTACCCGCTGCAGTATTGCATCCCCCTGTGCTACCGTCAGGCCGCTCCGCGGTCTTCCAGTATCGTGAAGGTTGGCTGTTGGCAAGACGCTTCCTGTATTTCGTAGTCTGTCGTCCAGCTTACGGAAGACGTTGATATCGGGAGGACGGCGGGACGGATATCGACGGGCATACTCCCTAGCAGTTCGTAAGGCATTTCCATTCCATCGTACATGTCGCAGTAGTCACGAACGGAATACATGGCCACCATACGGAAGACTACCGGTAGCTGCAAGATGCAGCCTTTTAAATACCAGTTCAACGGCGGCTTAACGTCATTCCACGGCGCGCGCGCATGCATGATGTGATATGCGCGACGAACGTTTTAAACATTATCGTCTGGAAAGATATGCCAATACTGTTGTTGATATGTCAAATAAAGTGTTTTTTATTTGCACCGGCAGTGACGTCATACTTTGTTTTTTGTATTTTTCTCGTAAACTATGGATCGTACAGGTACGCTTCTTTGGGCAGCTTTTGTGTACTCCCAACGAGGAATCTAGCTGTGCAGAGTTTATGCGGTCGTTTTGGGACACCCTGTATAAATAATGCTATAAAAAAGGGGACCATTTTTGGGAAACGTGGTAATACGTGTTTCCCCTCCTCCTTTAAACTCCATGGCAGTGGGAAAGTGGCCGGAGAGCGTTACCTCACTAGAAAAGAACGATAGGACCCATGGAGGTAAGATAAAAACATATACTTACTTCCTACCTCCATGACAGGACCCATGAGCGAATAATTTTCCCTAGTCCAGTTGCCGGGGAGAAAGAGAGAGATAAAAGGAGAAGGAGCAGGCAAAGTACGTGTCAGATAATAGAGAAATGAGGAAACGAAAGATTTGGGGGTAATGACCCAAAATGCCACGAGTGAAAGAGAGGACTGGAAAAGCCAAGAACGGTGATCGGACTGTTTTTTCAAACCCCTATTTAGCAGAGCGGAGTATTCGATGTGGACGGTATGGCCAAGGAAAGCGGCGAACTGAGTAGACACGGATTCAATACGCTCCCCGTTTGGGCACTGAGCGTCATTAAGACTGCATGGAAACGCAGAGTATTAGGTGAAATTTGCTTCATTCCGTGATTCGGACGAACAGTATTGTTGAAATCAACCATTCCTCTCCGAGCGAAGGACGGTTAATTCCTTAGGAAAAAGAAACTGGAAAAAATCCTCTCAGATATTCTCAACCTGGGAATAAGACCAGTGTACCTTTGATCAGGTCATCATCAGTGTGTAGAGACATTAGGAGTTTTTCGGAAGCAAGAAAGATTGAAGAACTAACAATAGCCTTCGACGGGAATCGAACCGCGGACCTCTGAAATACCGGCTCCGTGTGCTGACCACTGCACCACGAAGGCACTCTAAGAAGGCGGGAGAAGTACCTTATATACTCCCCCTTTTTAAAGGGCGACTGGGGTTTTTAGGAGAGACAATCGCCAAATCCTTGATGCGGAGAATCATCTTCCAACACCCTTTTAGTTCGGGCGCCACTGTAGAGACATTAGGTAATTTTTGGAAGCAGGCAAGATGAATAATTAGCAACGCCTTCACCGGGAATCGAACCACGGATCTCTGGAATTACGGCCCAGTAGGCACGCTGGAAGGC